TATATAATATGTTAAGATGAAATGTTCTAGAGTGTGTATTATATAATTTCCATACCCTGCCGCGGCTGGGTCTTGAACCCGCGACCTTCGAAATAATTAATAACACAATTTAACATAACACTTGCAGAACTAGTATTGTTCGATGCTGAATTAATATAAACGAGTATGTTTATGACATTCAGTATATATTTCATAATTTCCAGTCTTAAATCTGTCTGACTGTGTAGCTCAGTTGGTATATATATACAGCTAATTCAATTAAGGTTGTCCTTTGCAAACCTTAAACTCTAAAACCTTAAACCTTAAACTCTAAGCGTGCAAAGCATAATGGGAGCAAAATTTAAGCAGTTTAGAAAGCATATATGGAGCCCATTTTTTGGAGACATGATAAAAATCTCCCTGCAAAAACATTTCACTGACAAACAGCTTCAATAATCAACAATTAAGCTTGAAATCAGCGCTCCCATCATGCTTTGCGCGCTTAGAGTTTAAGGTTTAAGGTTTTAAGGTTTAAGGTTTGCAAAGGACAACCTTTATTGAGTCAACTGCTCCAGTCAAACAAAGAATAAGGAAAAATTGTGCCCCATGGCTCTCTGTACAAATCAAGAAATTTATATGGGAACGAGATCGATTAAAGCGCAAAGCATTTTATACTAATGATGAAAATGATTAGGTCAATTTTAAAACAACTAAAAATCTAGTTAACTATAAAATTAGAGATAGTAAAAAGCAATATTATAATTCTTTGTTTCAACTCAACGTAGGTCGAACTAAAGAAACTTGGAATGGTATCAACAGTCTTCTTTCTAAATCTAAAAATTCAACTACTATACCAAAAATCTTGCAATATGAAATCGAAATTACTGACCCATTAACTATTAGCAATGTTTTTAATAAGCACTTCACTGAAATCGGACCTAAATTAGCAGCGCAAATTCCAACAACTGGTGCGGCCTCTTATAACATTCCACAATGTAATGAAGTTTTTTAATTACATGAAGTTATTCCATCTCAAATAGATGGACTAATTTATAAATTATCGACTTCTAAGGCTAGCGGTCTTGATAACATTCCTGTTCGTTTATTAAAACTAATTAATTTCACTACTGTGGTTTCACTTACTCACATTATTAATCTAGTAATTCGCAAGGGAATTATTCCCGCTGACTGGAAGTGTACCAGGGTATCAGCAATTTATAAACATGATTCAAAACTAGATTTGAATAATTATAGGCCTATTTCAGTCCTTCCAGTAGTTTCAAACATTTTTGAAAAAGTTGTCTTTAACCAAGCATATGCCTTTTTAAACAAAAACAGCCTTTTATCTGACATACAGTCCGGATTTAGACCTCTTCATTCAACGTTAACAGCTATGCTTGATGTCACTGATAAATGGTACACTAACATGGACAGTGGGTTAATAAATGCTGTCTTATTCATTGATTTAAAAAAGGCTTTTGATACCATTGATCATAACATTTTACTACAGAAGTTAACTTGTTACGGTTTCAACAAAGACACGATTGATCTTTTTAGAAACTATCTTTCTGATCGTGCTCAAATAACAGTTATTAACAACATACGATCTGATACTCGTAAAGTAACATGTGGAGTTCCTCGGGCCTATCTTAGGTCCACTACTGTTTTTAATGTATATAAACGACCAACCTAATAGTGAATTGGTATCAGATGGGCGTTTATTCGCTGATAATACCAACTTGACTTTTGCGGACAGCAACCCTGTCAAGTTGATTTCTGTTCTAAATGACGACCTTAAAACTCTCCAAAACTGCAGGCTTAACCTGAATAAACTAGGCCTGAATGTGATTAAAACTAAATGTATGTTTATGGCATCCAGGCAAAAATTAAGTAGCCTACTATTCCTGAAGAACCTAATATTGATATCTCCGGAAACAAAATTGAAAGAGTTAGATCTTATAAGTGTTTAGGTTTAAAACTGGACGAGAGTTTGACATGGGAGCATCATGTTTCTACTATAATCTCCAAAGTCTCCAAGGTGATTGGAGTTCTACGAAGACTGAAACCATTGCTCCCACAGTCAACTTTTGTCATGATCTATAACTCTTTAGCACAGCCATACTTTGATTATTGTAGTATTGTCTGGGATAGCCTAGGTAAGGGTCTTGGACAAAAGTTACCGCGATTACAGAATAGGGCTGCAAGAATTATTACTGAATCTGATTATAACATCCGGTCATCAGATAGTTGAGTTTAAATCTAAAATATCTTAATATTTCTTTTATATTAGTTTCTTTGCATGTGTAGTTTGTTACTTTTGTAAATAGTTTGATACCTTTTTATTAGTAATTAGTCTACTAGTATAGGTACACGTCTCCATTGAAGAGCACATGCATAACATAACCTGTGAAATGGACCTCGTGTTTTAAATAAAGACGTCAATATATATATATATATATATATATATACAAAGTTTTACTTGCGTGTACGTGCGTACGAAAAACGCAACAGTGCTGCGTTATTCATCCGTTTTTTTACGTACGTACACTTACGTTTACGTACGGATGCTATATATATATATATATATATATATATATATATATATATATATATATATATATATATATATATATATATATATATATATATATATATATATATTAATAATTCAGGAGCAAAACACAAAGAAAACTCATAAGCGTGTCGTGGTTTTATATGTGATAAAAAATCACGTTAATTTACATAAACTTTAGCTTTGATTTTCTCGGTTTAGACAAAGTTTATTTTAAAAATTACTTCGCCAATGAACTCGTATAAGATGAGTCGTTTTTGGAGCTATTTAAAGCACTTGTAGTCGTGTTTTATCACATATAAAACACTCCGCTACGCGTCGTGTTTTATATGTGATAAAACACTCCTACGCGTGCTTTAAATAGTACATAATATACATATATTGTCCTTCGCTTCACCTCAAAAAACCACAGCAGTCTGCTTCATCCGCACAGGAATCATCAGGTGGTGAGCAATTTCGAAAATATAGGTTGCTTTTATGCTATCGAAAGAATGTGTGGAATGCGTGTAGGCGAAACAATGCTGAGGCGAAACAATTAATGCTTAGGCGAAACAATTAATGCTTAGGCGAAACAATTAATGCTTAGGCGGAACAGTGCTTAGGCGAAACAATGCTTGGGTAATTAAATTTTGTTAAGTCGAAAGCCATTTTTGTGACGACACTTGCCGAAAATTTCTCTTCTTTTCATTGAGTAAATTGTCTTTGTTTACGTCTTTCAAAATGCAAAATTTTTCTTCCAAACATAAATTGCAGCGTTTTGATCCCCCCGTATACGAAATAGCGTGTTTTAAAATTGACCATTTGATGGTATAATCCTGATTGTTTTCTTTTAATTTCCAAATATGTTTCGACAGTTCGGTTTTATTTGAGTCTTTTTTATGAGGAAAAGATGAAGTGTAGTTAGCGTAACGTTCCTTAAATGTATAGTCGCTGTCATACCAATGTAGTGTTTAGTGTCGTTCGTGTTGTTCGTTGTGCTGTGGCTTTGTAAATAATGTTGTTGGTCATACATTGTTTCAGTAGTGGGCAAGTGTTTTTGTTGTCGCAGTTACAGTTGTCAGTTTCCGTATTCTGTGATTGGCTGTTCCTAACTATATGTGCGTTGTTTGGTGATTATAGACTTAACGTTGTTCATGCAACTATAGCTTACATTTAAAGTGTTTCTGTTGAAAATCTTGTGTAGTTTGTGCTGTAGTGGAAAGTGTTTGTCAATTAAACTTACGAATTCCCGCGTCCTATGTTCGTGTTAGCATGCACTCTTACTAAATGGTGGGTTGAACCAAATTATGTTGCGTTGCCTATTCCTACGTGTCCGTTGCGATGCATCCTGAGTGTACGTAGATTCATGGTCAAGGTTACTATGTCTACAAGCGTTCTGGTAAATAGGCGTAGATTCCTTAAATGTTTGTTTGTCCGATGAGAGAAGTGCAATGCGTTTGTTGATAGTTGTGAAAATTTCCAGCAAATCAGAAAGGCGAATGCTCATTCTTCAACCAATCAAAACTGCCGAAAAAGCTCTTCGCATTCTGAAACACATGTCGAGATACTTCAAGTAAGGACGATCAAAGGCAAACGGATTTTTTTATATTTCACAGAAAGCGCGTTCCTTAATGTGGGCAAAAGCTCGATACGGCATAAGCAGTTGTTCAATCGTACTTCCATTGATTCCATCAGGTACAATTACTGACAATATATATTCCACGACAGAAGGACAAACAAAAAATATATTTTCACACTCATATTATTTCATGTAGGCCTACAGTCTAAATAGGACAGTGTTATGAAAATACTCGGTGATTACCGTTATTATTAGCTACATTCTATCCAACTGTTTTCTAATAAAAGGCATACAATATATATATATTCGCCATATTTGGCTGATTTATTATCCTTAACCTTTAAAACGACAGACGTGTTGTATGTCCAGATGAACAATTCGTTTTACGGAACTAGGCAAACATCGATAATTTAAGATGGGCCAACTTCAGCACGGGAGAAGACGGTTTTTCAAGGTCTTCAATATCTTTTTTCCTTCTCTGCGCAAACGTCATTCTTCCAGAAAAAAATCAAACAGTTCAATGTAGAATTCGTAGAAGCTACGGTGGCAACCCAAAATTCAAACACACTCGCATTTTGTGACCATTACTCAGCGAATTTCAACGCAATGAAGAAGAACGCAGGAGTGTACATCAACACCAAACAGGCAACTGCCAACAAACAAGTATGAATCTTCTTTAAATTGACATGCAAGGTTGATTCCTCGGGTGATGCTGTGTTGTCATGTCGCCCTTCTCTTGAAATCTTAAACAATTTGTAGTTTATGAACAAAATTGGTAGAAATATAATGGCGAAGAAAATTAATAAAGCCACTGGCAAGGAAATTACCAAGTCGTTCAGAGAAATCATTATTATGATAATTGGTAGAATAAACAATACAGCGAGGAGTGTTAGCAGTCTGCGTTTGGTCATCGATGAACGATGAAACAAAGGATAGACATTATTTATTAGTATATGCTCCCAGATATCGTTCAATATTCATCACCAGAAGTGCGACGATAGAAAAGCCAATGAACGAGTTTGAAAAACACCGGAAAATCTCGGTCACAGTTTATAAATCATACTCTTCATTTAACGCGAAGACTAGGTGAACGAGAAAGTCGAAGCACGACAGCACCATGATCATGAAATAACATAATTTCTTTCGCAGATATGCCGAGGATTTCCAAAAACTGACGATCACCAATGTGTTTAAAATCATTTTTGCGCAAATAAACACTACGTTTACAACGCACAAAACAATATATTAACTGAATGTAAAATTTTAAATCCATCTTAAAAATCAACAAATTAAAAATTAGCTTCCGTGTTGTTGAATGTTCTATCAAAGGAAACAGAGTGTATAGGCAGACTATACAGCTGGTTATGTGCATGCAGAATCAGTCCAAAGGCGTGTCATGGCGAGTTTTCCCCCCTTTTCTATAACAAACGGCTTTCCAACCTTCATGTTCAACGTTTATGTACATCATACATGTATTTTACGACAGAGTTCCTGTTTTCCTCGTAGCCGCTCTTTGTGACGTGTGGGACACTAGTAAGTAGTCCTCTGCGCAAAATACATCTCCAACCAGTCTTTCTCTTCATTACAGTATACAAATATTGCTTGACTGGCAAACAACAAAATTTAGGCCTGTTTTAGACGGCGTAATTTCTATGTGCCGAAACAATTTAATTCTTATTTGGTTCGACTTCACTGCATTTTCCGGCGTGGAAACGGAATATTGAATAATTTAATTTAATTTATTCGATTAGCCAATTACTGCGAACCCAAATAAAGAATACATCCTTTAAAAATTCGATGAATATTGAATATTTGGCAAACAAATTAAGAATACGGAATATTGGCTGTTTTGTTAAAAGAAAGGGAATATACAAAACTCATAATAAAGAATATCAGTGAAAAAGTAGTTCGGAATGAAGAATCAGGGTTTTCAGTGAAACTCTGGCTATTATAACTGTGAAAAAGCTATGGCGAACACAACTTCGCACCGGGTCTGGGGCATCATCTCCCAGGAAACTTAAAATTTCGAAGCTCTAAAGTTTTTGCTATTCTGGCCGTGGGAAAGGTTTTTCAAAAAAGGGCGGGAAAATTTTAGCCAGTCAAAACGGCGAATGCTCATTCTTCAACCAATCAAAACTGCCGAAAAAGCTCCTCGCATTCTGAAACACAGGTCAAGATACTTCAAGTAAGGAAGATCAAAGGCAAACTGATTTTTTATATTTCACAGAAAGCGCGTTCCTTAAAGTGGGCAAAAGCTCGATGCGGCATAAGCAGTTGTTCAATCTTACTTCCATTGATTCCATCAGGTACAATTACTGCGACTATAACACGACAGAAGGACAAACAAAAAATATATTTTCACACCCATATTATTTGCATAGACTAAATAGGAACAGTAGTATGAAAATGGTATTCCGCTATTATTAGTTACAATTCTATTCAACCGTTTTCTAATAAAATATATACATGCAATACACTCGCCACATTTGGCTGATTTGTCATCCTTAACCTATAAAACGACAGACGTGTTATATGTCGTTATGAACAATTCGTTTTACGGAACTATAGTGTCAGTCAAACATTCATAATTTAAGTTTGGCCAACTTTAGCATGAGGAAAGACGATTTTACGGAACTATAGTGTCTGTCGAACATTCATAATTTAAGCTTGCCCAACTTTAGCATGAGAAAAGACGGCTTTTCAAGGTTTTCAATACCTTTTTTCCTTCTCTGCGCAAAACGTCATTCTTCCAGAAAAAGATCACACAGTTGAATGTGGAATTCGTAGCAGCTACAGTACCACCCCAAAACTCAGACACGGTCGTATTTTCTGACGTCGATTTCTCAGCGAAGTTAAACGCAATAAAGAAGAAAGCAGGAGAGTACATCAACACGAGACAGGCAACCGTCAACAAACAGGTGTGAATTTTCTTTAAATTAACATGCAAGGTTGATTCCTCGTGCGATGCTGTGTTGTCGTGTCGCATTTTTCTGGAAATCTTAAACAATTTGTAGTTGAGGAAGATAATTGGTGAAAATATAATGGCGAAAAAAATGACTAAACCCACTGGCAAGGAAATTAGGTCGTCTAGAGAAATCATTATTAAGATAAATGGCAGAATGGATAATACTGCGAGGAGTGTTAGCAGTCTGCATCTGGTCACAGATGTTCGATGAAGGATAGGATAGTGTACTCCCAGATATCGTTCAATAGTCATTACCAGAAGTGCGATGATAGAAAAGCCGATGAACATGTTTGAGATACGCCAGTAAATCCTGGTCACAGTTAATAAATGGTGCTCTTCATTTAACGCGAAGACTAGGTGAACGATAATTAACGGATGACTCGTTATGACCACAAGGATTTCCAAAAACTGACGATCACCAATGTGTTTAAAATTATTCCTGCGCAAATAAATATTACGTTCACGACGCACAAAAATATTAGCTGAATGTAAACTTTTGAATCCATCTTCGGACGACAATCAACAACTTAAACATTAACTTCCTGTCTCTTGAAAATTCAGTGGAAGGGAACAGAGCGTGGGCGGTCTATACAGCCAGCTTCCAACGTCACTTATAGTACTTATCCTCTTGGGTGGCGACTCATGTGATCAGTTAAAAATAGCCTGTCGCCGACTATGCGATGTTGGGATATTATTGGGTTGTATGCAAGACACAATTCTGAGGCATACAGAAAGCGTGCCATGGCGACTTTTTTCCCTTTTCTATAACCAAAGTCTTTCCATAGCCGCTCTTTATGCCGTGTGGGAGACTAGTATATGCAGTTCTGTGTGTAAAATACATCTTCAATCAGTCTTTCTCTTCATCACAATATATAAATGTTGCTTGACTGGTATACAACAAAATTTAGGCCAGTTTTAAACGAAAATACCGGAAATACGAAACAACTTAATGTTTAGTATTTGGTTCGACTTCACTGCATTTTCGGCCATGGAAACGGAATGTTGAATAAAGATTATACCGCTTTTAAAATTCAATGAATATTGACTATTTGCCAAACAAATTAAGGGATACGCAATATTGGCTGTTTTGTTGGAAGAACAGAGAATATACAAAACTCAGAGTAGATAATATCAGTGAAAAATTAGTTGGGAATAAAGAATGAGGGTTATCAGTGAAACTCTGGCTATTATAACTGTGAAAAAGCTATGGCGAACACAACCTCGTACCCAAGACCCTGGGTACGAAGTTATAGCGAATGACACAAACCTAAGGAGTCTGGGGGCATGATTTCCCAGGAAACTTAAAATATCGAAGCTCTAGAGTTTTTGCTGTTCTGGGTAAGGTTTTTCAACAAAGTCATTGGGCGGGGAAATTTGAGCCAGTCAGAACGAATGCTCATTCTTTAACCAATCAAAACTGCCGAAAAAGCTCTTCGCATTCTGAAATAAGGTATAGATACTTCAAGTAAGGAAGATCAATGATTTGTTATCTTTCACAGGAGACGCGTGCGTTTCTTAATGCGGGCAAAAGCTCGATGCGGGCATAAGCACTTGTTTAATCTTACTCCCATTGATTCCATCAGCTGGGTACAATTACAAACTATAACACGACAGAAGGACAAACAAAAAATAGATTTTCACACTCATATTATTTGCATAGACTAAATAGGACCGGCAGTATGAAAATACTCAGTGATTTCCGCTATTATAGTTACAATTCTATTCAACTGCATCATGTTTTCTAATAAAATACATGCAATACACTCGCCACATTTGGCAACCTCGTACCCAGGGCATTTTGCTTCCCACTCAGTCAAACATGGATAAATTAAGCTGGGCCAACTTTAGCATGAGAAAAGACGGTTTTTCAGGATTTTCAATACTTTTTTCCCCTCTCTGCGCAAAACGTCATTCTTCCAGAAAAAGATCACACAGTTCAATGTGGAATTCGTAGTGGCCACAGTGGCGGACCAAAACCGAGACACCATCGTATTTTCTGACGTCGATTTCTCAGCGAAGTTAAACGCAATGAAGAAGAACGCAGGAGTGTACATCAACACGAGACAGGCAACTGCCAACAAACAGGTATGAATCTTCTTTAAATTAACATGCAAGCTTGATTCCTCGGGTGATGCTGTGTTGTCGCGTCGCATTTTTCTGGACATCTTAAACAATTTGTAGTTCAAGAAGATAATTGGTGGAAATACAATGGCAAAGAAAATGGCTAAAGCCATTGGCAAGGAAATTACCAAGTCGTTCAGACCAATCACTAGTATGATAATTGGTAGAATACATAATACAGCGAGGAGTGTTAGCAGTCTGCGTCTGGTCACCGATGTTAGATGAAAGAAAGGATAGTATACTCCCAGATATCGTTCAATATTCATTACCAGAAGTGCGAGGATAGAAAAGGCAATGAAAATGTCTGAAAAACGCCGGAAAATCTCAATCACAGTTAATAAATGGTGCTCTTCGTTTAACCATAAGACTAGGTGAACGATAATTAACGGATGATTCGTTATGACCACAAGGAAGTCGAAGCACGATAGCACCATGATCATGAAATAACATACTTTACTTCGAATATTTGCCGAGGATTTCCAAAAACTGACGATCACCAATGTGTTTAAAATCATTCCTGCGCAAGTAAACATTACGTTCACGACGCACAAGAATATTATCTGGATGTAAACTTTTAAATCCATCTTCGAATGATAAAATCAACAAATTGAACATTAGTTTCCGTGTTGTTGAATGTTCTATCGAAGGGAACATAGCGTAGGCGGACTATACGCGCGGCACCCTTATACTCAGGGTTTTCACTTCCGCTTCCAGAACTTTACTTGTACTGTTATTCTGTCATTCCACAGCAGTTAGAACTTTATATTTGCCCTGTGACACAACATGCATTTAACATTATGCCCAAATTTCGTGCCAGCTCAAAAATACAAGTTCAAAATAAAGGCCAAGCAAAGTTATGTCAAAGAATGTAGTAGAATCTGGACAAAAATGCCACGCCGATGATTCATATAAAAAATTTATTGAGGGCTATAATCTCTTAATGTCTAAAATGGTCTTATTAGTCACTGTGACCTAGTCTTTGAAGAAAGAGAGTGGGACTGACCGATGGGGCTTCCAAGTAAATACAAAGCACTGACACTCACAGCCACCAGACTGACCAGACGACAGCCACCAAATATGTTATTACTAGCATAACTATAGGCTAGAGTGGCGGATAGGATAAAAGATCAGGTAATGGTGTCTAATTATGAGCACTAAGGTATGTTTTACCAATTTCCACACACTTGTCAGAGCTCCCATCACAAAGATGGATTCACAGCATCAAGCTAGGCTTGACAGTTTAACTTCACAGTTAAGAATGTGAGGCAAAGCATATATTTGTATTTCCCGATATAAATGTCCACAAAGAGAGACTTGGAGCAAGTCTACCTATAAGGGGCCGACTATTTAACTTTTGAGGGGGGGGGGGGGTGATTTTGAAAACAAATTTCCTGCAAGGCTATTCTGGACAAAAAAAATACCTGCACTAACAAACTGGGGAAAAAATATCCTGCCCCAGTATTTGGTGGGAAAAAAATGTTGCAAAACAGCATGGTTGCAGGGATCGATTTGACCAGTCCCAGAAGATCAGCTGGTTTGATTTTCAGGGACTGGTGTAAGGTTAATTTCTTGTTGGAAAACTCCTCAAAATGCTGGAAATAGCTTATCTGAGCTTCACAAAATCCAAAATTTTCTGGGGGGGGCATTGCTGAAAATAGCTTATCTGAGCTTCCAAAAATCCAACATTTTCTAGGGGGGGAGAGGAGTATACCCCCAGACCCCTCTAGAGGCTCGCACCTTCGGTGGTCGACTCAGTTGTTGCTGCCCTATGACGTATACTTATTAGTTAAACCATGCATATATATGCTGTAGGTAGCTGCAGTGATACAGACTGGGCTGTAGCAAGGGGGGTATTGGGGGTGGTTAACCCCCCCCCAACTTTTTTAGAATCAACATATTCAGAAAATCGGGTTGGCCATTCGGAAAATTACGGTAATTATTTAATAGTAGAACAAAATTTTAGTTGTTAAACAGAGAAAATATTATAAAATTGTGTTGTCACCATAAATTGTAAGCAAATTGTAAATTTCGTCATACTAAAACGCTTTTTTCTGACCATCAGCATTCTGTCAAAACTTCCCCCAAAGTCCAGGAAATGGCATTTCAGAGACTCAAAATTTAAAAATTTCCTCGGGCCTCCGGCCCTCGTTCTCTGCCCCCAATAAACAAAAGCTCTCTACCGCACTGCTTCTGTAATATGTCTGTGCGTAAATTATGCATATTTTTGTTAATTGTAAATTGCGTCTTCATTTTCCGAATAGCAAACACCTTCATGGCTAATAGTATGCCATGATATATTCGGAAATTATTTTCGTCATTCGGAAATTTTTGGCCTACACCCCTCCCCCCCAACTATACATGCTAGCTACGGCCCTGGATACAGACTTGCCGACTGGAACTTCTCCAGGTCCCCCGCTAATTATGTCCTCTCCAGTTGCACATTCTTAAAAAAGCACTGAACCAAATGTTATACCTCATAGCAAAATGTATTATTAAGTGCAATGCATGAAGCTAAAATACTCAATGTTAACTATAATCTAAATAGTATAAGCTATTGAAAAAAAAATGCTGCGAAAGAAAGTGTGGCAAAAAAGAAATCGTACATGGTGATGGTGATAAAAAAAATATCTTGCACATAACGATCCCAGAAAAAAAATTCCCTGCCAGCAGTAAATACCCTTCAAAAGTTAAATGGTCGGCCCCTTAGCGTGTAAAATGTGTGTAAAACTGAATTGTATTAAATCTATTTTGCATGATTACTGCTTAATTGCAACTAGGTGCATCACGCAGTCAAGCGTCAAGTAAAAATAGACAGAAGGTCTATACTGTAAAAGTAATAAAAAGTAAGGGATAGAGAAGTGTTTTCAAAATATTTCATACAAGTCAAAGCGTTTCCATGTAGTGTTGTCTGTGTTGAGCGTTGATAAGGTTGATTCATATCATTGTTCACGTTATTAACTTCAATTTACTTCATATCATCGTTCAATGTTCACGTTTATAGTTTTCATTCGATCAACTGTGGAACTAATTGCACGGTTTCCTAGCAATGGGGAACCAAACCACAATTGAACACCAGTGAATTGCAGTAAAATCTTCGAAGAAATTAGTCTTCAGAATCGATCAGGACGACAACATTTCAAGGACCACAACATTAAATTTAGAAAACATACACGGCAAAAAAACGATCAGGTTGTTGCAATACTGTTGAAAACAGGATTGAACAATGCTTTGCTGCCCACATTGTTCACAGTTGTCAACAATATTGAACAATATTGTTACACCCGATTCAGGCTCAACAATATTGTTAATATTGTTGACAAGTGTGAACAATGTGGGCAGCAAAACGCTGTTCAATCCTGTTGAGCAGCGGGCTCGGCGTTTTTTGCCGTGTAGAAAAGCATTGGCATTGACGTACAGGGGATATACTTGGTGTAATGTCACATGAAAGCGATCGTGTGTGGCAACTAACGCGCATGACTGCAATTTCTCGACATGGAAAGCACAGAAGAGAAATAGGGAGTAGAAAGCCCATTTCTAGATTTGGGCTACTTGGAAAGCAGAAGGCCCATTTCTAGACTTGGGCTACCATAAGTAGCCCAAGTAATAAATCCCAGGGAATTGGTCGATCGGCAGCACTTCCTTGCGATAGTAACTTCTTGTATGTATTATACTTATCGCCGCCGATCATGTGCCAAACTTAATTGTTATGCTTCGCGGTGTAGTTCCTGTTTCCCTCGTAGCTAGTTCTCTGTGTAAAACACAATTTCAAGTACCCTTAAAGTCATTCTCCCCTTATAAGGAGAACTGAAATGCGTGTTAAATAAAACAATGGAGATAATGAAACGGAAAACAAATGCAAAGAAATGGTATATATTTTCGTAGAAACAGAACTGATATTCCCGACAAAAAATTGGGAAGGGAAAAATCCTATAAACAACAGAAAGCGCGTTCCTTAATGTGGGCAAAAGCTCGATGCGGCATAAGCAGTTGTTCAATCTTACTTCCATTGATTCCATCAGGTACAATTACTGACTATAACACGACAGACGGACAAACAAAAAATATATTTTCACACTCATATTATTTGCATAGACTAAATAGGGACAGTGTTATGAAAATAAAGTGATTCCCGTCATTATTAGTTACAATTCAATTCACCTGTTTTCTAATAAAATACATGCAACCATACTATGATGCAACACACTCGCCACATTTGGTTGATATTTTATCCTTAACCTATAAGGATAGTGGCTACAGTGACGGATCAAAATCGAGACACCATCGTATTTTCTGACGTCGACTTTTGAGGGCCTAGATGAAAATTACTTCGTGTAACTCTAGTCACCCTGTTTAAATATTATTATTATTATTATTATTATTATTATTATTATTATTATTATTATTATTATTATTATTATTATTATTATTATTATTATTATTATTATTATTATTATTATTATTATTATTATGACCGACCAGACTTGGTAATATCAGACAACAACCAAAATATATATGTTATTGAATTGACAATCGGCTTTGAAACTAATATGGCAAAAAACTGTTTAAGGAAAAGGGAACGATACAAGGATCTTTGTAACTTTTTAAGAGAACGATTTAACAAAGTAACGTATTTTAACTTATGCATGGGCGCGATTGCAGTTTTAAGTCATGAATGTAAACAGTTCTATGACTTTTTGGACCGCGAAGTAAGATTAAGCGATATGCAAAGAAAATTCATCATTAGAAAACTAACCGGCTGCTGCATAAGGACAAGTTATTATATATTTTGCTCTAGAAACAGACAATGGTCTTGCCCTGAACTTTTATATTGGTAGGATTCATGCTGTCATGTGTATGTACAGTTATCTTATTTGACACTGTCTTCGTTGTTACCTTACGAACGTATTTTAAAATAACCATTGTAATAGCATTCTGTAGAAATTCCACTTTGATGATTTGTACATATTTTAAGCTTAGTTTAACATTGTATTCTTTTCTTAATCTTTTGTACCATAATGTAGCCAGGTTGCCTATAATACTTTAGTGAGAGCTGGTTACTAATATTTGTATGAAATGAAATAAAATGTGTTTACATTATTATTATAAAATGACAGACGTGATATATGTCCTGATGAAAAATTCGTTTTACGGAACTATAGTGTCAGGCACACATCGATCATTTAAGCTGGGCCAACTCTAGCATGCGAAAAGACGGTTTTCCAAAGTCTTCAATACCTTTTTTCCTTCTCTGCGCAAAACGTCATTCTTCCAAAAAAAGATCACACAGTTCAATGTGGAATTCGTAGTGGCTACAGTGACGGACCAAAATCGAGACACCATCGTATTTTCTGACGTCGATTTCTCAGCGAACTTAAACGCAATGAAGAAGAAAGCAGGAGTGTACATCAACATGAGACAGGCAACTGCCAACAAACAGGTATGAATCTTCTTTAAATTAACACGCAAGGTCGATTCCTCGGGTGATGCTGTGTTGTCGCGTCGCATTTTTCTGGAAATCTTAAACAATTTGTAGTTGAGGAAGATAATTGGTGGAAATATAATGGCGAAGAAAATGGCTAAAGCCACTGGCAAGGAAATTACCGAGTCCTTTAGAGAAACCATCATTAAGATAAATGGCAGAATGAATAATACTGCGAGGAGTGTTAGCAGTCTGCGTCTGGTCACCGATGTACGATGAAGGATAGGATAGTATACTGCCAGATATCGTTCAATAGTCATTACCAGAAGGGCGATGATAGAAAAGCCGATGAACAAGTTTGAGAAACGCCGGTAAATCTCCGTCACAGTTAATAAATCGTACTCTTCATTTAACGCGAAGACTAGGTGAACGATAATTAACGGATGATTCGTTATGGCCACAAGGAAGTCGAAGCACGATAGCACCATGATCATGAAATAACATACTTTACTTCGAAGATATGCCGAGGATTTCCAAAAACTGACGATCACCAATGTGTTTAAAATTATTCCTGCGCAAATAAACATTACGTTCACGACGCACAAAAATATTAGCTGAATGTAAACATTTGAATCCATCTTCGGACGACAATGGGTAGGGATAAAACGCTGAAACTGAATCGCGGAAACGGAAACTGAAAGCGGAAACTGACATGGGGGTAAAACGCTGAAATGGGGATAAAACGCTGAAATGGGGGTAAAACGCTGAAATGGGGGTAAAACGCTGAAATGGGGGTAAAACGCTGAAATGAGGGTAAAACGCTGAAATGGGGGTAAAACGCTGAAATGGGGGTAAAACGCTGAAATGGGGGTAAAACGCTGAAATGGGGGTAAAACGCTGAAATGGGGGTAAAACGCTGAAATGGGGGTAAAACGCTGAAATGGGGATAAAACGCTGAAATGGGGATAAAACGTTGAAATGGGGGTAAAACGCTGAAATGGGGGTAAAACGCTGAAATGGACAAATTTAATCGAATTCGTTGTTTGCTAGACCATTACGAACACATGTAATTTGCCTATAAAACTGAATAAATATAAGAAAGAAGTTCCCGGTAAAATGACAACCACAAATTTTCGAAGAACGAATATAATCTGACAGTTTATCTTTTATTAATAATGTAATCTACAATTTTCTCCATATAACTTCGAACTCAACTTTTTGTGATAGCATACTATCTTCACACTGCCATATGGCTGGTATTTTGGGTGTAAACCCGGTGTCACAGGAATTTCCCGGGAATTGTCAGGACACGTGTCTAAATCGGAAAAAACGTTTTTCTTCTCCTGCCTACACGCGTAAAAATCATGAACTTGTAGTTGCAATGTTGATAAAAACAGGTTGCAACAATAATGTGCTACGCCTATTGTTCACATTCAGCATTGTTGCACCCCATTCAAGCTTAAGATGAATAATATTGTTCAATGTTGTTAACTGTAAAAAACAGGTCAGCATAATATTGTTGCAACCTGTTGTACAGGCAGTACAGTACAGCACAACTTGCAACCTGTTGTACAGGCAGTACAGTACAGCACAGCACAGCACAGCACAGTACAGTACAGTACAGTACAGGCAGTACAGCAGGCTCAGCGTTTTTGGCCGTGTAGAATTGAACAAACTAACTGAACAAACTAAAAAACAAAACAATATCGACATCATGCCACGTCAAATTTGAAACTCTCGTAAAAAGCGCACATGTTCTGGTGTTAAATAATATGGCAGCCAATTTGGTACAGTTACGCAGGCAGGGTTAAAACATGGCTGCTTCATCTTGAGGCAACTCAAATTTACATGGAAATATACATTTTGTTCTTTGAACATCAACTGTCCATCAGGAGTATTAGGGTTAGGAAAACCTCTATTCATACGTGTAATAATCGTCAAATCATACGGTGGACTGGGCGATAATCCCGCCGAGTTTTATACTTTATACTTTATACTTTTATACTTTATTTAGAAATGGTAAATACATTGCAGCCATGAGCTGAATTGCGTATTATACTTACAATTAAAAATTATTAAAAATTAGAGTTTTGAAATATATCAAAGTATTATAATTAATTAACTAAATTGTCAAAAGTGTCTGTTTATAATAAGCATGCAAAAGTTATTAAGAATATAAAATAGGTACATGAAGAGTAAAACCTATTCAGCTTTGCTACTCGATGCCATAATAAAACTATTACTAAACCGATTGGTTTTACAAACTGGAACGTCAAAAGATCTAATAGATCTCAGGTCGTGGATGGAGTTATGCCTTGGCGGCAAGAGGTAATGTAGACTGTGATTAGAATCTTTGATAATTGCATTAAACAATTTCTTGCAGCCGTTTTGATGGTGAGTGGAAAGATGTTCAATTCCACTGAGATTTAAAGCTTCCTCATATTTCAAATGGGATAAATAATTCCAAATACGCGTTTCTGGACTCGTTCCAAATCTTGACTTAAATACTTGGGTAGGCTGTAGTGGAAAACCGGGACAGCATAGTCCAACACAGATCTTATACAGGTTGTGTAAAATGTGATTAGTTCTTGTATTGGGATTTTTGCTTTCTTAAGTTGAATAAGGAAATATATCCTTTTGGAGGCTTTCTTGACTAATTCAGTGATATGTTTATTCCACGTAAGGTTGTTGCTAATGTTAAGACCTAGCACTTTTTAACGATTGGGAACACCCAAAACAGGTGCGAACTAAAGGAGGACAACACTGCAAAAGACTAAGAACAAATGTTCCTACTGGAGGATTGACAGCGGTAGGTAATGGGACCTGTTGGGATCCTTGTAGTCAGCAACGACGCTGACCGAGGTGTATAAACTGGCTGTTGCATTGACGTCATATAACGTAGAAAAAACTATCCTAACATAAAACTAAACCCTAACCCTAATACTAACCCTTACCCAGTAACCCTAACCTAACCCAACCTAAACCCTAACCTAACCCCAACTTATTTTAAAAATTGATATAAAAACGGAAACCTTATTTTGAAGTATACTATCTAGCAATTGCCGTTCGCAATGGTCTAGCAAACAACGAATTCGATTAAATTTCCCCATTTCAGCGTTTTGCAAACAACGAATTCGATTAAATTTCCCCATTTCAGCGTTTTATCCCCATTTCAGCGTTTTATCACCATTCCAGCGTTTTACCCCCATTTCAGCGTTTTACCCCCATTTCAGCGTTTTACCCCCATTTCAGCGTTTTACCCCCATTTCAGCGTTTTACCCCCATTTCAGCGTTTTACCCCCATTTCAGCGTTTTACCCCCATTTCAGCGTTTTACCCCCATTTCAGTTTCCGCTTTCAGTTTCCGCGATTCAGTTTCAGCGTTTTATCCCTACCCGACGACAATCAACAACTTAAACATTAACTTCCTGTCTCTTGAAAGTTCAGTCGAAGGGAACAGAGCGTGGGCGGTCTATACAGCCAGCTTCCAACGTCAACTATAGTACTTATCGTCTCGGGTGGAGACATGCAATACACAATTCTGAGGCATACCGAAGGCGTGCCATGGCGACTTTTTTCCCTTTTCTATAACCAAAGCCTTTCCAACGTTTCTGTTAATACAATACACCCTTTCGATAATTACGTCACAACTACACTGTTTTCAACTTAGGACCATCTTAAATGGAATAGTCTGCGCACAGACTGTCCCTACCCCCCCCCTGTGTAATCCCGCGGGGGAGCGGGATGAAGTCTGCGAGCAGACTAAAATAGAAAGGATTTCAAGTTTTTTTCTCATGGGCTATGCACAGAGAAGCAGAACATCCATTTTCAACACATGCGCGAAAAACAATTTTGGATTTTGATTAATAAATATGCTTATTTCCATATTTATTGATCAAAATCCAAAATTGTTTTTCGCGCATGTGTGAAGAAGGATGTTCTGCTTCTCTGTGCATAGCCAATGAGAAAAAAAACACCTTGAAATCCTTTCCATTTAAGATGGTCCTAAGTTGAAAACAGTGTAGTTGTGATGTAATTATCGAAAGGGTGTATTGTTATGTACTTTACAGCATAGTTCATGTTTTCCACGTAGCCGCTCTTTATGCCGTGTGAGAGACTAGTATATGCAGTTCTGTGTGTAAAATACATCTTCAATCAGCCTTTCTCTTCATTACAATATATAAATGTTGCTTGACTGGTATACAACAAAATTTAGGCCAGTTTTAAACGGCGTTATAATTTCTGTGTACCGAAACAATTTAATCTTTATTTGGTTCGACTTCACTGCATTTTCGGCCATGGAAACGGAATATTGAATAAAGATTATATCGCTTTTAAAATTCAATAAATATTGACTATTTGCCAAACAAATTGAGGAATACGCAATATTGGCTGTTTTGTTGGAAGAATAGAGATATACAAAACTCAGAATAGATAATATCAGTGACAAAATTAGTTCGGAATAAAGAATCAGGGTTATCAGTCAAACTCTGGCTATCATATATAACTGTGAAAAAGCTATGGCGAACACAAACTCGTACCCAAGACCTTCGCTACGAAGTTATAACGAACGACACAAATCCAGGGGGTCTGAGGGCACCATCTCCAAGGAAACTTAAATATCGAAGCTCTAGAGTTTTTGCTGTCCTGGGAAAGGTTTTTCAACAAAGTCATTGGGCGGGAAAATTTGAGCCAGTCAGAATGGCGAATGCTCATTCTTTAACCAATCAAAACTGCCGAAAAAGCTCTTCGCATTCCGAAATACAGGTCAAGATGCGCGTGCGTTTCTTAATGCGGGCAAAAGCTCGATGCGGGCATAAGCACTTGTTTAAACTTACGCCCATTGATTCCATCAGCTAGGTACAATTACAAACAATAACACGACAGAAGGACAAACAAAAAATATATTTTCACACTCATATTATTTGCATAGACTAAATAGGACCGGCAGTATGAAAATACTCGGTGATTTCCGCTATTATAGTTACAATTCTATTCAACTGCATCATGTTTTCTAATAAAATACATGCAATACACTCGCCACATTTGGCAACCTCGTACCCAGGGCATTTTGCTTCCCACTCAGCGAAAATGGGAATTTTCACCATTTTCGCCGAGTGGGAAGCAAAATACCCTGGGTACGAGGTTGCACATTTGGCTGATTTTTTATCCTTAACCTATTTAACGACAGACGAGTTCTATATCCTGATGAACAATTCGTTTTACGGAACTATATAGTGTCAGTCAAATATGGATAATTTAAGCTGGGCCAGAGAGCGTGGCCAACTTTAGCATGGGAAAAGACGGTTTTTCACGGTTTTCAATACTTTTTTCCCCTCTCTGCGCAAAACGTCATTCTTCCAGAAAAAGATCACACAGTTCAATGTGGAATTCGTAGTGGCCACAGTGGCGGACCAAAACCGAGACACCATCGTATTTTCTGACGTCGATTTCTCAGCGAAGTTAAACGCAATGAAGAAGAACGCAGGAGTATACATCAACACGAGACAGGCAACTGCCAACAAACAGGTATGAATCTTCTTTAAATTAACATACAAGCTTGATTCCTCGGGTGATGCTGTGTTGTCGCGTCGCATTTTTCTGGACATCTTAAACAATTTGTAGTTCAAGAAGATAATTGGTGGAAATACAATGGCAAAGAAAATGGCTAAAGCCATTGGCAAGGAAATTACCAAGTCGTTCATACCAATCACCAGTATGATAATTGGTAGAATACATAATACAGCGAGGAGTGTTAGCAGTCTGCGTCTGGTCACAGATGTTCGATGAAAGAAAGGATAGTATACTCCCAGATATCGTTCAATATTCATTACCAGAAGTGCGAGGATAGAAAAGGCAATGAAAATGTCTGAAAAACGCCGGAAAATCTCAATCACAGTTAATAAATGGTGTTCTTCATTTAACCATAAGATCAGGTGAACGATAATTAACGGATGATTCGTTATGACCACAAGGAAGTCGAAGCACGATAGCACCATGATCATGAAATAACATACTTTACTTCGAATATTTGCCGAGGATTTCCAAAAACTGACAATCACCAATGTGTTTAAAATCGTTCCTGCGCATGTAAACATTACGTTTAAGACGCACAAAAATATTATCTGGATGTAAACTTTTAAATCCATCTTCGGATGATAAAATCAACAAATTGAACATTAGCTTCCGTGTTGTTGAATGTTCTATCAAAGGGAACAGAGTGTAAGCGGACTATACAGCACCCTTATATATACTCAGGGTTTTCACTTCCGCTACTAGTCCGCGGCGGATATGCCAAAATTTAGCTGGAATTATGCATTTCGTGAAGAAACCACCATATTCACAGAAAGTGTAGACTTCGTACTTCAACATGGCAATAAATATTAGATATGGAGGCATTTGAAAAGTTCATGCTGATGGCCAAAAATTTGGAATTTTTACATTTTCCCTATAAAACTCTTATATTGTTAAAAAGCCTGATATTTCAAGTCCATTTATAGCAATAATGACTTACATCGTTAGAAAGCTTGCAAAAGACTGTACATAAGACATCCACGCGGGTTTTTGATTTTTCAAGTCGATTTCGAGTTATTGCTGTTCCAAATCGTTGAAAATAGCGCAAAAATACGCGAAAAGACTGGACTCTAGCCTAAAACCATAGAATAAAGATCCATATAGAAGGGCCACTCAGGGGTGCAACGTGTCCTCGTTTTTTTATGCAAAAATATGCAGTTTACTGGCCAGAAGGCGGAGCAGCCAGCCAGTACAGCGTGTTTATTGGCCAGAAAATGTCATTGACTGGCTAGGAAAATGGCGGCCAACATGCGTAATGCGACATGCGCGAGGACAGAAACTTCAAAGCTTCCGACGTAAGTGGCCCTTCTATATGGATCTTTATTCTATGCCTAAAACTGCCATTTAAACAGCATGTAACTCATAAAGGATTTGAAAGATCAATAAAACGCTCAAATGTCTTACATACAGTTTTTTGTAAGCTTTCTAATGCTATAAGTCATTATTGCTGCATGTATAAGTGAACTTCAAATTTCAGGGTTTTTAACATTATAAGAGTTTTATAGGAAAATATAATAAAATCCAAATTTTAGGTCGTTAGCATTAATTTTGGAGGATGCCTCCATATCTAATATTCATTGTTATATCAAAGTCAGCATTTCCTGGAAATACGGGGCTTTCTTCACAAAATGCACAATTCGTAGACATATCCGCCCAACTATACCCGCCGAAACGGAAGTGAAACCCCCAAGCATCAGGTTGACTATATTGACTTACATTTATATAGTAATTATGTTGTAAATTCAGTATTTTTGAATCAAAATAAATTCATACATACAATTTGTTTTTAGAAATTATAAATAGTCAATTCCAAATCTAGGTATAATAAATTCCAGGGATTTGAAACACTTCCTTGCGATATAGTAACTTCTTGTATGTATTATACTTATCGCCGAGTTCCTGTTTACCTCGTAGCTAGTTCTCTGTGTAAAATACAATTTCAAGCACCCTTAAAGTCATGTTCCCCTTATAAGGAGAAAATGCGTGTTACTAAAAATAATACAATGGAGATAATGAAACGGAAAACAAATGCAAAGAAATGGTGATATATTTTCGTAGAAACAGAACTGATATTCACGACAAAAAATTGGGAAGGAAAAAATCCAATAAACTACTTGGTTTATGGTCATGAATTTATGACAATGCTGGACAACTTGCTCGACATTTTAAAACATTAAACACTAACAAGTTGCTGTCGTCAAAGTTTCTGTCATCAGAATCACATGAGAAGGAATTTTGCATCGGGAAATTTGGGAAATTTTTTGAAGAATTTGCAAGAATTCTTTAAGGGAACTGAATTTAACACTGGGTTTAAAATTTAGTGATTTTAAAACCATTTATTTTGAGGATACTTGGCCGTATATTTGCTGGGCTTCTTATATATGTTATTATAATCTAGTCATCCACCGTATACGAGTTATTTTGCAATCTGATTGATTGATTGATTGATTTATATATATATATATATATTAAGATGTAGTACATATTATTAAGATGTAGAAAAGAGATGTACATATTATTAAGATGTAGAAAGGTTGACGCTGGTTTGACAAAAACGTTAAAAACTACGTTTATTTAAAAAGATGTTAAGAGGTTTCGAGCAGTAACTTAGGTCTTCGTAACTTAGATAAGTGTTTTATACACATCCGGTATTTCGATATGGTCGTTTCCAGCGTTACGATCATTGAGGGAATATTTAATCATATATATATATATATATATATATATATATATATATATATATATATATATATATATATATATATATATATATATATATATATATATATATATATATATGCCAGCCCCCAAAAATCTTCATTTATAAATATCAAAAAACCAAAAACTCAATGTAATAAAATAATATTTTTTACGTTTCGGGGACAAGCCCCTTCTTCAGAATAACGCTACATCATCTCCGTCTCTTGCTTAAATAGATGATGTAGCGTTATTCTGAAGAAGGGGCTTGTCCTCGAAACGTAAAAATTATTATTTTATTACATTGAAGTTTTTGGTTTTTGATATATTATTATTATTATTAAAAAATTTATTTCAACACGGTAATTACATCAAAGAGAAAACATATTTACATATTTACATCTTTGTTCTTCCCGTAAGCCGTGCATGCAATTTAATTATATGAAATATATATCAATATTAGAGAACAGAGAGTTGATGTGTAGCCAATTTATCTTTAAAATTTTTTAAAGATGTTTCTGTTTTGAGATCATTTGGCAAGGTGTTCCAAAGCTTGGCGCCAGAAAAAGCAAAGCTTTGTTGATACAATTCTGTTTTGACTGATGGCAGTGACAGATTTAAATTCGCATTACGTAGCCCAAAGGATTGAGCTCCGTCGTTATAGTTAAATAACTCTTTCAAATAAGTTGGAGCATCATAGTTCAAGATTTTAAACAACATGGACATTTTAAACCGTTTTCTTCTCTCATCTAGAGTCGGCAACCCAAATTTTTCGAGCAGGGCAGCAGACCTAACAGAATAATCGGCCCGGCTAATAATACGAACAGCCCGGTTTTGTAATTTTTGTATTTTATTTGCCAGTGTATCACTCATAGAGTCCCAAACAATGCAACAGTAATCAAAGTGTGGTTCAATGATTGAATGATATATAGTAATGAGTTGTTTTTCTGTCAAAAAATTCCTAGTTCTACGTAATAAACCCATGCCAATTGAGACCTTTTTAATAACATTGTCAACATGTTTTTTCCACGTCAAATTTTCATCAATTGTAACTCCTAAGCATTTTACATGTCTTACTTTACAAAGTGAAATACCTCCAATAGAAAGTGCAACATCGTCGATCAATGAAGCAATCTTTTGCCGAGTTCCTATAATCATATATTCAGTTTTTAAGGCGTTTAGAGTTAATTTATTAGCTTTAAGCCATAATTCAAGTTTTCTTAAATCACGTTCCATTTGACGTTGAAGTTCAATAGGAAAACATGCAGAAAAAGACAAATTTGTATCATCAGCATACATTCGTGCAGTGCCGTGATCAAAGCAAGATGCCAAATCGTTGATGTATATGAGAAAGAGTAGAGGTCCAAGTACAGAGCCTTGGGGAACACCACAAGTAATTTTAATCTCATCTGACAAACACCCATTGACAAAGCATCTTTGGTACCTGTCAGTCAGATAGGATCGAAACCAATCAACCGCTATTTTTTCCAATCCTAAATATTCTAATTTGGTCACAAGTATAAGATGATCAACGGTGTCAAAAGCTTTCTTTAAGTCTAAGAAGACGACACCGTTTAACATCTCTCTGTCAATGTTAAAGCACCAGTCATTATTCATATCTAATAGTGCAGTCATTGTTGAGTGAAGCGATCTAAATCCCGATTGCCGAGAATCAATTAAGTTATTATGTATAAGGTATGCATACAGCTGGTCATAAATAAGTCTTTCAAACACTGTAGCAATACTAGTTAGGACAGATATAGGTCTATAATTGTCAGAAATATCTCGTTCACCACTCTTAAAAATTGGAGAAATCTTGGCCTTTTTCAATTCAGCTGGGAAAATGCCTACCTTAATTGATAAATTAAAAAGACTAGCAAGGTGCAAGTAAATAAACGGCGCGGCGACCTTCAATAATCTATTCGGGATATTGTCTAAACCACATGCTTTTGTAGTTTTTAAATTCTTTAGTAATTTCAAAACTTTGTCTGAGTCCACATCATGTATTCTGAATGTTTCTTTCGATTGTTTTAGAAACATTTCAGGACGAACGTTGCAATTTTGTGTTCCTACAGACGAAAGCTTGACGCCAATTTCAGAGAAATGTTGATTCAAATGATTAGCTATATCTTCA